TACTAAAGCAAAGCCAAGAGAAGAAGATCATTTTACTGATAAAGAAAATAATCTAAATGTAGAAGGCATATAAAGGTGATAAAAGAAAGAGGAAGAAACTGTCTACAGCAATTAACTGTGCGTAAAGCATAAGACAACTGCAAAAAATCACTGCCTGTTCTGCAAGGCTCACTTACCTCTTGCTCTGTGAACAATATATCGGTGTAGCAAAGCTGCAAATACAAAACAAAAGTCAGAATATCACAATTTTGTATCAAAAACTACGTTTGAAACAGGATGTGATAACTCTCTATATATGGTTAGCATGGCAAAAATAGAGCCAGAATTAGGACTGTACTCTGGTTTTCCAGCCCTACATTCTGATCACAAAACCACCTTTTCCCCACATATGATCCAAAGGCAGGAACATGCTGAAAGCTCACTTACATCCTGGTCATAGCGCTTCCGGATTTCTGGGTGCGTCTGTTCTATCAGGCAGTCAACAAAACAAGTCTGAAAAATATCAGATTGTAAGAAAAAAGAGGTGACCATGTTCAAACAGACGAATACAAATGAGCCCATCACTCCTGTGCGGTACAGAGAAAGGCGAGTACAGAACTATTTCCACATGGCTGAAATAAAAGCCACAAATAACTGCAGAGCAACAGGATCAGCCAGAGAATGAGAATGCTGCCACAGAAATCAGGGGGTCAAAAGAGCAAGAGCAAAAGCAAGCAAGAGAGATGGTTAGTACCACCCAACAAACTTTGGATATTCACACTACCTTGCCATGGTGAAGGTGCCCACACAGAGTCACATTTCGAATTAGCTCCGAGTTGTCCATCAGATCTGCCAGGAAACTGGGGAAATGAAACACAAAAGACTGTTGGAGGCTTCTGCTGCGTCTAAGAAAAGTAGGTGCCATTTCAGCTATGCTTTCTATCCGAGGTCCCTCCAAATCTTCTCCAAACTTTCATTCTGCCAATGCCCTGCGGAGGAAGAATCCCACTTTCCAGATGGGGAGGACAAGAGAGTTGGAATGTTAGACAGATGGCAGTGGGTGGGAGGAGACAGAGCTGGTAAAACTGCCAGTGATGAAGTATTACTGAATATCTTCCTTCTCTTCTAGTCAGTATTAGAGCAAAAGTCACATCCATGTACGCAGATGATGAAATACTTCCGCTCAAATAGTGGCAGGTAGTCAACTAAATCACAGGGGTGGATAACAAGCACCCCACACATTTTTAAAAGATGGCCACAGGGCTCCACAGACGATTAATTCTGATTTTCAGGTCTTAGAACAGTGACAACCCCAGGGACTCAAGGAAACAGTAATGGAATTTAAATGTTTTTAGAATCAGCAACTGAGCTAGGGAATGATGGACTGGTCACTTCTGCATAGATCCTGCCCAAAATATAATTGAGATCCTAAATTAGCAGCTACTCTAAAAAATAACGGGAAGCTATAAAACAAGTATCAATTATTATGGGTTTGTAGATATTAAGTCCTGTCAAATAATCTCCTTTTTAAAACTCCTTTAATTTTCTCTGATGCGGCAGACTTCTTAGCATACGAGATTTTGATTAAGAGCTAAAAAAATACAAAAATCAATAACAATACAGATTAAAAGCTTGCTTATTGGTCTTAAAACAAGGCTAAATGTGAAATCAATACCAAGCTCGCAGGTTTCTGGTTAAGTCCCACAGGGACTTCCTCTTGGCCCCATCGTCACCATTTATATCAACGAACAGAAGAAGAATTCATTACTGAAGGAACACGCAGAGGACACAGGACTCAGAAAAGCAGCAGATAATGAAGAGTACAGGCCATCGACCAAGTGCAAAATCGTCTGCTTAGAAAAATAAGACCAAGCACACTGTTTGCTTTACATCTGGCTATTCTGAAAATCTCCCTGGTCAATGAACACAGCCATACCGATAACAAAGGGGACAGCCCGTTTCAGAACAGTCCAGGGCATCTGTGTATGAAATCCAGGGAAATTTTGCTGCCAAAAGATAACAGGATCCTTGGAGGTATAAAGGACTGCTCATGTTGGGGTCTGCTCAACATACCGGGAACTGCTACTAAGCCCGCATCTGGATTTGGTATCAACACTTGAAGACAGCTATTGAGAACTGGAAACGGCTCTGAGTACCCACGAAGCAGTGCATGGGTTGAAACACCAGCCTAGCAAAACACTCGCACAACTCAGTCTGCCCATCCTCAAACAGAAAACAGCACACAGAAACACCACGAACGTGGATACAGAACCCCTCCACCCATCAGCAGAATGCAGTGCCTAGGCATCAATAATAAGATCGTATATTTTCATAGACAAGGTAAACAAGTGTTTTTATTCTTTACCAAAATCTCAACTTTTAAATTTGTTTGGATTTTTTTCTCTCCCCCACCCCCCAAAGATTTTCTCCTGGTGTACCAGGGGCTGCTTTGTGGGGTACAACCAGCAGACACCATCAAGCACAGCAGTGCAGCTTGGCTGAGCAGCCTGCACTGACCCACACACAGCTTGACAGTGGCTTTTGTGCAACCAGCAGCAGACAAATTCTCCCTGGAAACTCCTCCAGGAGAGACAGGAATGAATTTGAGACAGCTGTAAGCCTGCATGCACTGGGATGAAATCAAAATGTCCCTTTTGGGTGTAGGAGAAAGAGGCGTGCCCCATGCCGACCGAATAAATACTTCTTGAGCCAGTCAGGAAAACTTGTGTTCGGCAAATCTAAACACAAAGGTTTCCAACTGCTGAGCTTTCTATCAGCTGCTGAGATGAGGAAAGATTTACATTCTAGCGTCAGATAACTGCACTATGCTGCCTGCTGGGGAGGCAAATTAACTGTAAAATGTTTAGCCTTGGACTTTCTTACTCTTCTTTTTGGTTCAAATTCTGGGAAACAGCTGCACTCCATTACATTGCTGGTGTTAGTAAGAAACAAACCCACTGCCCCTTGTAAGCTTCCTCCTCCATACAGCACACAGCCTTTTGACTCCCTACCTTTGCCTGTAAACAACAAAAAGCGAGGAAATCGCAGCACAGATGGCTTTATCCAAAGTACACGCTTAAAACTCTACGTGTTACTTACTCCATCTCATAGACAGTGACCGGTAACGTCTGTTCCATCAAGGAGAACTTTTTGGTTTTCACAGGTTTAATAATAGGCTCTGAAAACAAGAGAAAGAACAATGCAGTGCTGTTATCAGTGACCTGAACCCAACACTCTCAGAAACAGTCATGCTGAAGAGGGATATTTGCAGACAGAAACACATTTTTAAAGCTGACAGATTCTTTTATTTTTTTTTTTAATATGAGGATCAAACGAGATGCCTTAAACACATTTTCATTTCTCTTTAAATATCTTTGCAGCATCTGTCAATATCTGTTTTTCAGAAGACAGTTTGCTTAGCTTTTGCAGTAATCCAGAGTGCTAAAATGTGGGCATCGCTAGACAAACAGAAGAGTTTGACCTGGGGCAGACAGGGAATTCAGAAGGAACATTAAAACTGATTGGGAGAATCAGAGGGAATGTTATTTTCCCTTTTCCAAGGATCCATGACAAGTCCTCCTCACCCCATACCCACCTCACTGCTTTGTCACCACTTACCAGTGAGAGGCTGCGTGTCTTCCTCTTGCACTATCGTCTCTACTTCAGGCCCGTACACCTCCTCGGCAGTGGGATAGTATTTCTTATCCTCGTGCAGCACCACCTCCATCCCAGGGTGGTCTTCATCAGTGGTCCCCCATAGTCATCATCGTCGTCATCATCCTCAAGCTGCAAGCAACGTTTACATTTAGCCACTGCTGGCACCTGAAGCGCTCTATAAACCTTAACTGCCCCAGAAAGCGCTTGGCATCATATATCCAGAGAGCCATAAACCCACAGGCAGCCAGGAAATCACCAGATGTGGTGGCCCCGGCACGTCACAACCAGCTTTGGAGAAATCTGCAGAAATGCCCTCAGGAAGCAGCACACATCCCCCCACCGTGTGCCTGCTGCTGACGGCCCCGCTTCAAACAGACGGCGCAGGCAGCAGCTCTGCCCTTCACTTCAGGCACAAGCAGAGCCACTCTGGCACACATAACACAACCCCCGCACACACAAACCCCGCTTTTAGGCTTCTAACACAAGAAGGGGCACCCGCTGTCCTTCATCTCCTTCCCTGGTGTCGCCCAGCACAGCCCCTGCTGTCCTCAGCGCTGCCCACGTCCCTCACTGCTACATCTGTGCAGCTTTACAGCGTTTGCCACCAGGGAGCTGAGCTACTCGCAACAGTGCAGCGGCATTGGCACATATTGGGGTCAGATAAAGACCTTACATAAAGCACACGGATCCTTTGAACACACACAAAAAACCCAAACGTGACTGGAACCACCAAAGCTCCCAGTCCTGGCAGCGAATCACGCCAGAACATCGCCCCCCCCGCTCACCTCGTCCAGGTCCTTGGCCTCCCTGCCCAGCTCGTCGTCCTCATCGTCCGAGTCCAGCTCCGGCCCGATGTAGTTCCCGAACTCGTCGTACAGATCCGTGTCCATGCTGGGGGCGGAGGGACGGGCTCAGAGGGGGGCCACGGAGCCCCGGGGACACGGCCTGGGACCCCCGGGAGCCCGGCCCGGGCCTGTCCCGGTACCCCCGGTACCCCGGTACCCCCGGCCCTATGCCCTCAGTACCCCCGGAACCCCGCTGCCCACCGGTCCCCCCAGCCCTGTACCCCCCTCCCGGTCCCCGTTGTCCCCCCGTTGTCCCCCCGGTCCCCCCGGTCCCCCCGGTACCCTCCGTCTCTCCCCGCCGCGCCGCCCAGGCCGTTGGCGCCGCCGCCAGCCCCACAGAAGGCCCCGGGGCTGCCCCCGCCGCCTGCAGCCACCGGCACGGGCCCAGCCCGGTACCGGGGGGGTCCCGCGGGCAGCGCGGGGCGAGACGGGGCCGGGGGACCGGGAGGGACCGGAGGGGACCGGGGGGGACCGGGGGGGCCGGCCCCGGTTGTGTCAGGCGCGGCCCGGGCAGCCCCACGGGGCCTGGCGCCACGCGGCCGGGCGCTATGGCAACGGGAGGGAGCTCGGCACGGGCGGCGGGGCTGTCGCGATAGGAGTGAGGGGGGTGGGGTGAGCAGCCCGGTGGGATGTCGTGATAGGATTGAGGGTGCCGGGGTGCAGTGCCTGGCAAAGTTGTCGCGATACGAGTGAGGGGGGTGGGGTGGCAGGGTGCAGAGACCGGTGAGGCTGTCGCGATAGGAGTGAGGGTGCTGGGGAGCGCAGCCCGGTGGGGCTGTCGCGACAGGAGTGAGGGTGCCGGGCTGCGTGGCCCAGCAAGGCTGCCGAGACAGGAGTGAGGGAGGCAGGGTGCAGGGGCGGTGGGGTGCAGTGCCCACCGAGGGTGTCGCGACAGGAGTGGGGGTGCTGGGGTGCGCAGCCTGGCAGGATTATCACGACAGGAGGGAGGGTGGGTGGCCGTGCGTGCATCCCTGCAGGGCTGTCGCAACAGGAGTGGGGTCCCCCTTGCTGTCTGTGCATGGTCTCATGGGGCTGTCGCAATAGGAGTGGGGTCACTGGGGCCGGCCACGAGCCTGGTAGGGCTCTATTGTGATAGTAACAGGGATCCGTGTTGCCATCGAGGTGCTCAGCCAGGCTGCGGCAACAGGAGGCGCTGCCCCCACAGCTGGCCGGTCGTGCCTGTCGCGATAGGAGCTCCCTGCCTGCTCTGGGTGCCCACAGCCCCGTGCCGGCAGCCGCAGGGTGATGGAGGCGGACGGAGCCCTCGACCTGGGCGCGCTGCACCAGGAGCTGCGGGCGGCGCTGGCGGCCGACGAGAAGCACGCGAGGGAGGACGAGGCCAAGTTCCGCGCCGTGCGCCAGCGGGTCGGCTCCTACGAGGAGTTCAGGTCCGGCCAAGGACTGGCCCCGCGCATCACCATCCCCAGGACACCCTGAGGGAGGATCCGAATTGTTCCGTACCCCGTGGAGATTCGTTAGCTGCGGTCCCTGGCCTTGGCACCGAGCGGGTTGTGTCACATCTCGGCACCACGGAGGCTCTGCTTGGTGCCAGGTGCTCCGGACACGGTGCTGACGCAGCCCCCAGGGGGTGGTGGTGAATTTTTAGACCTCTTGTAGCACAGATGGAAACTCACCACAGGCTGCTGGGGTCACCCAGCTGCTTCTGAGCTTACACCTTGTTCCAAAAGGCTCCAAAAGGCTCCAAAAGGCTCCAAAAGGCTCCAAAAGGCTCCAAAAGGCACCCTTCGCTCCCGAGCTCCCTGTGTGCGCTTTATGCCCTGGGTGGCTCTGAGCATGGCCTGGCGGTGCAGTAAACCTGGCTTCAGGGACCCCAGGGTGCTTGAAAACTCTGTGGCCCCTGTGACACAAAGCGCTGATCTGAGAACTGGTCTTGTTTAAGGGTGGCTGAAAAAATTGGCAGCTTAACTCCTGCCTGCTAAGATCTCAGCTGTACCAGCCTAGAAGTCTCTTGCCGACTCGCTGTCACCAGCGTTGTGCCGAGTCCGAGGCACTGGTCTGTGGCAAACCAGCTACCCGAAGGCGTTGGGTTTACCCCGCTGCGATGCTTTGCCTGGTGCAGCACAGCTCCTGGCAGCCCGTCCTGACCTCCCGTTCCCCTCCCACTCCTCCAGCCCCAGTTGGTGGTGGTGGTGTGGAAGGACAGGGTGGTGCACCCACCTAGGTGTATTCTTGCTCCAAAGCCCATCATCCGAGGCGGTTTGGGAACAGATTTATGATCCAGGGATGTCAGGGATGCTCCCTGGAGGAGCAGTGCTCCTAATGCCCTCCTTGCACAAGTCCCCATCCCTTGACATATGCAGAAAGATCTGCAGACAGATCCAGGGCTCTGACCAGGCTTATCCAGGAGCGGAGCAAATTGCATTCATGGCCTCATCCTGCCGGAATTTGGTCACACTGTTGGATCTGTGAAAGGGAGAAAGTTTAAAATGGCATTTATGGCATTTTTTTCCTGTTACTTTCTCCCCAGTCCCTGTAGAAGGATTCCCTGCTGCAGTTTTGTCAGTGTAGCTGCTAGAGCACGATCAAAGATCACACTCCTGCTCAGTACAGAAAATCTGCAATGCAACCGTCGCGTTAGCAGCTAGGAGCCATCCGAGGGAGGCGGCAGAGCAGCTCCTCGCTGTGGGTGCAGCGTCTTCACCAGTGAAGGCTGCCGGTGTAGCAGCAGGGACCTGGACTCCTTCAAAGATCTCCCGCTGGTCGCTGGGGGGGCTGTGGGCTCAGATGTTCATCCCATGGGGTGAGAAGAACGAAGTGAGCCACTGAGTCCTGGCTGCTGTAGGTAGTCGTAGGCATCAGTGTAATGAGGCGCTTCAAATGAATCCACAAACACGTACCTGTCCGGCGTTCTGCAAGCTACAAAACAATCCTTAGGGCCTGTAGGATTGTAGGGTCTGTCCTGTGGGGGGCCCAACACCACAAAAGCTTCACTGTACCATAAGAAAAGAGCAGGAGAAGAGTGTCCTGCCAGTTCCTTGGGCCCTGGCTCTGCCAGGAGCTGCTGGGTTGAACTGGCAGCGCCCTGCCCGTGTCGGGCAGGAACCACGGTGCTCAACAGCAGGGCAGCCTACAGGGCAATTCCTGCCTCGTTGGGCCTGATGGCTGGGTTAATATGGAGTGTGTGAGGAGGATGTGCCTGCCAAGTGTCCCATGTGCTGTCTTTTCTTTTCTTCTGATCCCTCTCTGATGCCCCATGATCTGAGGAAATGGTCTGCCTGGCAGGAGGCACTGCGGAGGAGTGCAGCCTCAAAGCTTTTGCTCTTCTGTCCCCTTCCTGTTGCCTGCAGGGACATCGTGCTGGCATCACACCTGAAGCCTCTAGAGAAAAAGGACAAAATGGGGAACAAGAGAAACGTGCTGTGGAACCCTTGTGCAGGCCACACTAAGGGCCAGCAAGCCGGTGACGTGGAGATACCCCAGGTAAGGGAGATGCTTTCTGGGACTTTGTCCACATCTAAAAATTACTCCAAAATAATTGGAGTATTATTTTAAAGCACAAGAGTTATTCAGAATTATTTCTACATGTGAACAAGCCCTCAAAATCCCCAGGTACACTGAGTTAGATAACCGCAGGGCTCAGTCTTGGCCCCTGCTTTGTGGCTGGTAAGGGCTTGCACCAGCTGCTTCAAGGAAAAGCTGCTTCAACCCTGTGGGAATGTAGGACCAGCTGCACAGCGTCGGGCCAGAGCTCCCAATACCCTGCCTCTGCCGGTGGCCAGTAACAGATTCTTGGGGAAGACTGCCCTCCCTTGACCGTACTCCTCCAGCTGGCTGCAGTTTAGAGCCCGGCAGCCAGGCTGTGCATCTGGATCATCACGCTTAATAGATGCAGATAACGCATCTTCTGTGAATGTAGCCAATTCTTTTTCACCCCACGGTTTAATTATGCATGATACAGAAAAGTGCTATTTCGTTTTAAACCTGCTGCCTGATGAGTTCATTGGGTGCTCCCCTTAGTTCTTCGGTTGTGGAAAACGGTGACAAAACCTTTTATATCCAGGCCATTTGTGATTTGACTGACGTCTTTCCTGCTCCCTTCAGCGGACTTTTCCCAAGCTGGAGAGTCCTGGTTAGTTGGATGTCTTCTGGTATGGAAGGCGTTTTACACTTCCATTGCCTTTGTTTCCCTTCTCCCTGGTGCTGCGTTATCTCGTATGGATACGAGGGGCCCAACTGCAGTCAGCATCCAAGGCTCAGACACCCACTGGATTTATAGAGATATAAAACAATTGTTCTGTTTTATTCTCAGTTGCTTTCCTATTAGCTCCCAATATGGGCTTTGCCATTTTGACTGCTGCTGAGAATGAGCTGATGTTTTCGAAAGAATATCTGTGGTGACTCCCGTTAGCCCAGTGACACGATGACAGTGAGACTCACCTGCCTGATGGCAGCTACAGTGGAGCCTGTCACTGGACGTTTCCCTAGCCAGAGATGTTTTGCATGGATGTTTCTCACAAGCATTGCATGAATTTTTTGACAGTGAATTTCATTTGCCTGTTTATTATGACATCCTTTTGCAGCTCTTCTAGGCAGCTTTGTATTTGCTTGGAGTGAGCAGAGATCTCCCCAGAGCAAACTCTGTTCCTAATCCCATTAGTGCTTGGGCTCAGATCTCCAGGGCTTCTGCATTTTGTGTTTAGACACAGCCTGATGTTGCTGTGCCTTGTTCTCACTATCTGTATAAAAGCCTAAACATTTTAATCCTTCTTCAGTCTGTGCATCAGTTAAGTCAGCAGTGGTGAGTTCAGCAGTTCAATTACATATTGTATAAAACAGGATTTGCTTTTATCTGAGATGCCACATTGAGCTTGGCTCTCTCTTCCAGTCTGAGGCTTGTATGAATGCAGTATGTTACAAGACGGTATGTTAGAGTCATCAGTGTATTTTATGGGTTTTATGCCCCTTATCTTTTATCTGCTCACCTGTTTGATTTGCCTGATGGTGCTCAAGATGGAGACAGGTTTTTTGCTGAACTACTGCAGTTCCAGGAGAGTGTTTATCGTGTTTGGTTTTGGTTAGGGATTGGATTACCCCACTGGTGGTCTGTGTTCATCTACACTGTGCTTCAGGTCTCACCTATTCTTCCTTTATTTTCCTCTTAAGTTTTCTGGTTTCTTCTGGGCTTGATGAACCTGATATTTCTTCATCTTTCTGCATGTTTTGTTACCTCACAAGCTTTACGCAGCCCTTTGTGCTATCAAAGCGTGTATTAAAAGCATCTGTCAGACACACCCACAGACTGATGAGGGGGGAATAAAAATCTTCAAGTGGGAACAAAACAGAAAGAACTTGACAATTATTTTTTTCCTTCAGGAGCTGGATCAACTGCCTGGAACCTCTGCCGAATTTTACCGAGATTGGCGCAGATGCTTAAAAAGCGGAAAAGAAAAATACCAGCTTTTGCTTAAGCTCGAAGGGAAGGCCTTGGGCAGAATCTTTCAGGCTGACTTGGGTTTTGGCCTCCTGGGTGAATTCCTTGCTGTGCTGGCAGAGAACATCTGTCATGAAGACAGAGATGCTGTCCTTCAGATCTTACAGAGCCTTTCTGGCACCAAGCGCTTTGGGTTAAACGTGGATCTTCTGAGTGAGTCGGAGAAGGAGAGCACCAGGGATTTGTTTAGGAAGCTGCAGAGCATGAGCAGGGATTATTGGACCCCTGGCCACTTTAGTGGCCCAGACAGCTGCAAAGCAGAGAGGGAAGCTCACCTCACAGACACCAGCTTGCAAAAGGAAGCTGAGGAAAGAATAATGATGGAGCTGATGAAATGTTACCAAGTCAGCTGAAGGAGCAGAAGCACCAGGGTCATGCAGAAGCAGAGTGGAAAAGAGGCTTACGGCTTGGCATTGGCATCAAATACTGTGTGAGACAGTTAAGGGTAATTCAGATACTTTTGGAGTGTTGCTGTACATTTCCCTGTACCTGGGAGTCATCCAGAGCAATAGTTCTGCCAAATAAAAGTTAGTTACAGAGAGGACTCTGTGTACGTTGTGATCTCTGGGGCAGAGTGTCCTCACAGCACAATTCTGTGAGAATCTCTTAGATGGGGAGAACAAACGAGAGAAAGAAAAATTAGGCAGGCATTTATGAAGGAGAAGCCAAAATGCAAATAGTTCCCTCCTTTTTCCATCTCTGCCATTGTCACTCAGGATTTAAGAAACGCAATCAGTGGCACTTCATGCTTAACCATGCAGCCGCTGAAATTAGGCTGATGAGAGTGCAAATACTGTGCAAGGTGGTATATCTGGGGCTGATCCAACAGCTATTTTAAGCAGGTCATGAGGTAAACCTCTGAGATACTGTCCTATGATATTGGACACTATATGGTTTGCCTAAATTCTACATAAATTTAAATTCAAAAGGAACTGACAAATATCAGTCCAACAAAGAGACTCTCCGGTGCTGCCAAATATTGTGTCTAAACTGACTAGCCTTTCTTAGGCTGCAGGCTTCAGGAAGACTCTCATATTGTACAGCTCAGCACCTACCCACCAAGTTCACTTTCTTTTTCTGGCCTGGGAAGATCCTCAAGCTTCTCCTGAGGGAGCTGAGGAGCCCCTGGGGAGCTGAGGAGCCAGGGTTGGTTCCAGCATCAGCCAAGGCAAGGAGGATGTGAATGAAAAGCCTCCCTCGATTGCTCCAAGAGGGGGAGTCTCAAACATTGCCTGTGTGGTGGGTCTTCAGCACACTCACTTGGACAGCCAACAGGGAGGATGCAGAAGTCTAAATACCGTGTTTGTTACCTCTGGTTCTGGGCTACAGAGGTCAGCTGCCATCAGGGGAGGTTCTCTTCCATGATCACTGCACTCAGAGGAGTCGGTGCTTCAGGAATCACCTTAACGTTTACTTCTTTCAAGAAAACAGCAGCGGTTCCCTTCTTCCCACCACGCAGGCTGCATTTTGCCTCCACAGCCATGCTACAGGAGTGGTCTCTGCTCGTTGCCCAGTGGCACGATGCGCTCTAGAGCAGCTGGAAACATTCTAGAGTCCACGTCCTGGACACGCGGGGACAGGGACAGGCCACGTCCCAGACAGGGACAGGCTGCTGTAGGGCAGGACAAATATTCTCTGCTGCAACAACAGATGCATGCAAGTGATTCCCAGCAGTTGTTACGCTGGGATGAAAGATTTCGACTGCTATTTGATCCCTGCTGTCAGCCACAGGCTGGGCGTCCACCTTCCGAAGTCTCTTACAAGCCCCATCCCTGCTGAGTGAGCTGGTGTGTGTGCCCTGGTCCCTGTCCTGGTGCCGACACCACCAACCCCGTGCCACACCGAGGACGTGGCTGGGTTCGTTCTGCTGTCAGCAGAGGCTGCTGGGCATGATGGAGACCAGGCTGCCAAGAGCTGTACTTCTCCTCTGCATGGCAGATGTGCTCCACTCTTTTGCGATTGAAGAGAAAGAAGATGTCTTCAAGCGAATGGTTTGTCCCGCTTTCCTGATGTTTGACAACGCCGCTTACTTGGCTGACATGACCTTCGAGCTCCCTTGCAACTGCAAGCCCGAGGAGGTCTCTAATGTTGTCTGGTACTTCCAGAAGACCATGAGAAGCAAGGAAACCACGGTCCTGACCGACTTTGCTGGCAACGTGGTTGTTGACTCGGGCCATATCCACGTGGGCAGCAACGTGCTGAAGCGTTTCAGCATCCGGATGTTCAGTCTCATCGTCTTCCGGGCCCAGGTGACAGACTCGGGCCTCTACCTGTGTGGCACTAAGAAAGGGGACTTCTTCTACGGCTACGACGTGGACGTGCAGCCAACCAAGCACATCACGGTGGCTTTTGTGGACAGAGGCGAGCACGTCCGGGATGACTACACGGGGAAACTCTTCAGTCTCTTCACCACCTTCTGGGACTGGACCAAATGTGACCGCTGCGGTGTGAGGGGCGAGCAGCGGCGGATCGGGCTGTGCTACATGCGGAGCGCCAAGCTGCACCCCCGCTACCGCACCGCCCTGCCCAACGTCACCTCCTGCGGCTCCAGGGCCGTCTCCACGTGGCTTCAGCGCCGCGGCCGCCGCTGGAAGCCCGAGGTGGCCATCCGAAGCTGCCTGGCCCCTTGCGTGAAGGAGCAGGACCCCCAGGAGGGGGTGCAGGCCATCTCCAACATAATTTACAAGCTGGGCCAGAAGCCCTGGCTGCCCCACGTCCCCACGCAGTTCCACAAGCATCCAGTAGGAAGAGATCTGATCATCGCCTGCCCGGGAGCCCGGCCTGAGCACGCCGTGGCCTGGGACAAGGACTCTGTCCGGCTCTACCGCTCCAACTTCCTCGTGGGCGTCAACCAGAGCATGCGGGTCTTCATCGACCACGGAAACCACCTGCACATCCAGCGGGTCCAGTTCAGCGACAAAGGCACCTACTTCTGCTGGCGGGAGGGCCAGCTGGTGGCCGGCTTCCGTCTCAGCGTGGGCCACCAGCGCCAGCGCAGGCGGACGCTCGACGATCCCGAGACGATCTACGCCGTCAAGGCCATCAGCACGAGCTACGTCCTCATCAGCATCATCTTCGTCGGTATCCACGTGTGCCGCTGCTGTCGGCAGGTGTTCAGGTGTCCCGGAACGACGTAGCGTCCCCACGCAGCCCCGACAGGTCACTCCTACACCTTGGGCCATTATTTCAGGAGAAATTTATAATGTTTGGACCATTAAAAATAAATGGGATCGAAATGCTGCCAGTGCCCACTCATCCTCCATTTTGGGTTGAGAGCGCAGCGGTGAGGACTGAGATGGAAAAGTCCCTGTGCTGCTGGGCGGTACGGCGTGGTGGGACAGAGGGGATTTCACACCACCACGGGCTGTTCCTGGCCCCTTGTGCGGGTTTCAGTAGGCTTTTAAGCTCAATATAATCCTTTTTGAATAAATACTTGGAGTTGTTGCGGTATTTTCTTGCCAAGGCACTACAGAGTTCTCAAACCACATCAGTGATTTATTAGGGCTGTTTTTCTAAGAGTCCACTGTAATCCACCAAACTGTTTTACTCCAATTAATTCTGGCTTTTCTTAGATTTTTTTTTTTTTTTTAGTTCTTTTCATTGCTGAAAACTTTGAATGCCAACGTTTCAAAACATCCAGTGTTTGTTTGAGATCCTTGCTGGAGCTAACCTGTCTTTAAAATTTTGAGTTGAAACATTTATAATTTCAAAAGAGAAAAAAATCCAAATGAAAACAGAGGATATCTTTAGAAATTTTCCTGTTTGTGTTTTGTTTTTGGTGGTGGTGGTCTGATGTTTGAATTTGCCCAACTCAGCATGGACCTGTGAGATATTTGGCTTTTTATTAGCCATTATTTATGCATTGCAAAAGACGTCCTCCAAAGAGGATGGCATCTCTGCAGGCTTTAGGTGGCCTCTTCTTTGCTCCTCAGTGTGGAGCACGACTTCTCCGCTGGGCTCATCTCTGGTCCTTTTTCCATGGAGGTGACCTGGGGGCTTCAGCTTTCCTTTCTTTTTCAGGAGAAACCGGCTGTCCGGGTGGCCAGGCAGCACTGAGGGTCCCTGCAGTGCCCAGAGCCTGGGCTGCTTTCCCGGTGTGCAGGGTCTCATGGCACCCTCTCCAGTGGCTATATCCAGCCTACATGCACTGGCCTGCATCCTTGCACCCAGGGCCAGGCTGGGACTCCCAAATTCCCAATGCCCCAGTATAATCCCCACTCACCCACAGCATTTTCTGCTGCTTGCCAACACAACCCATCCTCACCGGCCCTTCAAGAAGTCATTAGGAATTAACCACTGGTCCTCAGAGATGCAGCTGACACCCAGGGCTCCTCCCAGGGGCCAGGTTTGGGGCTGAAGACCCCCAGAACAGGTCTGTACTTCCCCTCCCTCCCGCTAGAGAAGGGCATCTCTCCTGCCACACTGCTGGCTTTGGGGGTTATTCCTGCACCACGCCACAAACCCTTTTGGGTGTTCAAACCACACACAAATGTTTAAATGCATTGGCCATGCCCTGGGGTTCAGGACTGAGCCTTCGTCCCCCACAAGGAAGCTGCCAGCAGCAGGGTTTGGGCTCCCAAAGGGCCCCTCTGCCCTGGTTAATCCTAAATAACCCATGGCACCGGCAGCTTGTCCTGCGGCTGGGGCAGGGCCTGGCGCAGAGAGGCAGCTTAGAGGCACAGCCATTGAAGTAGCACTTGTGTAAGCTTTATTTCTCATCTCATGCTGCCGCAGACATTAGGACGTTAATTTTCACAGAGCTGGGAGACACAGGGGACAAAGGGGGCGAGGGGGATGGCAAAGGAGTGGCATCCGTGTGCTCATCCCTACGGGCTTATGGGGTACGAGAAGCGCTGCTGGGGTGTTGCTCCTACGTTAGGTGGCAGTGGGGCAGGTTTTGCTCCTGGTAGTGGCTAAATCGAAGGTTGGGGACAGGGGCTGTGGGTGAGCACTGGGCTGGGTGATGGCCCCAACTGGGTGGTACGTGCTGGTCTGGGCAGGGGAAGCAAGGGAGGACGCGTGTGGGGCCAAGGCCATGTGGAGCCTCGGGACAGGGAATTTCTGCTGAGTCCCTCTCACGCAGGAGCCGGGCTCAGGCTCCTGCATGGCCAGGGCTTGACGTGGGCAGCCCCGGTGCACTGCGGTGGTGGGACTCAAACTGTGAGCTGGTTGGGACAGGCAGGACAGGGAGGGCTGCCTGTCCTCTCCCAGCACTCCTGGGTCACGGGAGGCACCTCCTGCTCCGAGAGCACCCATGGGTGCCTCAACACCCTCCTCCTCCTTCTCCTCTTCCTCTTCCTTCTCCTCCTCCCTCTGTCCTCACTCCCCTCACCCTCATCTCCACTTTCACCTGCATGGGAACCCCTCAGGTGAGGGGCCAAGCACACGGCCATGGGTCCCCCCCTTGCCACGAGCTCCTCTGGACTGTTTCCTCCACCATGGTGATGGGGGCACCTTGGTGGGGGCACCCACTCGGGGCTGGGACAGCCCCATGGCTCTGTGTCCTGGAAAAGCAAATGAGGCCACCCCGCCTGCTGTGCCCATCGCTGCTCCAGCCCCACACCCCCCTGTGCCCCCAGGCACCCCTTGTTATCCCCACTCCATCACCTTTCACACCATCCCAGCAACACCCAGCCTCCCTGCACAGCTCCATCCTCCTCTTCCTCCTGCCCGTGCCTCTTGGCTAAGCCCACCCAATGCTCAGGGATGGGAAATGCCCCTGGCCAGCCGGTACCTTGCCCCCTGCAGCCCCCCCAGGATGTTCAGGGCCCGGGCACAGGGGCAGATTCAGGGCGGCCTCCTGGAGCAGAGAGTGGGCAGCGGGGTGGGATGCAGGGAGAGATGCTCTTTGCACCATTGCCTTTTCCAACTGGCATGCAGAGATCAAAACAGGATGGACTTCCTCGACAGACATCAGCGAGCCAGAGACCCAGGGCGCACGCTTGGCATGGCCCCCAAAATGCCAGCCCTGCTGTGCTGTGGGACCGGGCTCTGCCCAGTACCGCTCACCTCCCCCCATGTCTCCCATCCCCTCCCCACACAGTGCCCGGCCCCAGCCAGGGGGTCCCGGGGTAGTGGGAGAGGCGAGGGTGGGCAGGAGGGAGGTGCCCCCCAGAGCACCCCCACCTCATCCCGTGGCTCCTGCCCGGTCACCGGGGTCCCTCGCAGCGTCGGACGGCACCTACGGGGCTATGGCTACAAGCGCGGCTGCTGCGGCTCGCCCGCCCTACGCCACCTCCTTGTGCTCCTGCTTGGACTCCTTGATCACCTGGAGGCAGAGAGAGAGGGACCGCCACCGTCACCCCAGCTCCGGCCCTCCTCCCCTCCTGAGCCTTCCTGGGCTCTGAACGAGCTTGGGGACAGGGACGGGGATGGGGACAGGGACGGGGATGGGGACAGGGATGAGGATAGTTTTCTCTAAGAGCTGCCAGGCTCAGCTCCACCACGGTCTGGAGCCAGCTTGCACCGTGCTGGCAGGGCACCGGGATGCCCCGCTCCCTGCCCAGGCTGCTCCTGGGGCTGAGGGATGGTGGCCCCACCTGTGTGACGAGCAGCCCCCTTTGGGGACACCCTGCGGGCAGGCGGGGATGGAGGGGAAGCAGTGTGGGAGGCACGGATGAGGACTTCCCACCTCTCCATCTCTGGTCTCCACAGTTTTGACCACGATGGTCCTCTTCGGGTGAGCTTCTGACAGGGATTTGGCGTCCAGGCTGGTCTCTGGGGGACGCGGGCAGGACACAGCAGTGACCCCAGTGTCCCGCGTGCGGCCCCTCCACCCATGCACAATTGAAGGGGCCCAAAGGAACCGTGTTGGGCTGGAAAACCCCAGTGGAAAAACCCATGGCAGTGAGCAGCCCTGGGGACGTGATCAGCCTCAGGGACATGGACGACTCTGGGGACATGGTTTGCACTGGGGACGTGACTGGCTTCAGGATGTGGTTGGCCCTGGGGACACAGCTGGCACTGGGGATAGGATCGGTCTTGGCAATACGTTTGGGCTTTGGGATGTGGATAGTTTTGGGATGTGGTTGGTCTTGGCGAACAGGGTTGACCCTGGGGGGACAGATGGCATTGTTGGCCTTGGGGACGCAGCCACGGCACACTCCTCCCCTCCATCCTGGGGTCCCCTGGGGCACAGGGACCTGGCAGCAGGTTGGTGCCAGGGACAGGACCCTGGAATCCTCGTTCCTTGAGATTTGGAGGAAAACATCCCACTCCTTCTGGATGGGGCAGGGCTGGCCAGGATGACACCTCCTCCCCAGGAGCCCCCAGGCCCTCCCGGCCCTCAGACCCCACTCACAGCACCACCATCCTGCCCACCTCGGATCTGCAGGTTGGAGAAGGTCTGCACGGGGATGGTGATCCTGGGGGAGCGACGGGGGCGTCGGGGACAGTACCATGTCCCCACCGCCCCACACAGCAGCTCCGCTCTGCCCAGGGCTGGGGCAGGAGGGCTGGGGGCTGCTCCTCACCCCCAGAGGGACCAGGAGGACGTGGGGATGGTTCGGGGCAGGATGAGGCCCCGCTCTGCCATCACCTGCTCTCCTCGCCCTCCAGCAGCTTGCGGTACGTGGCGATCTCGATGTCGAGGGCCAGCTTGACGTTGAGCAGGTCCTGGTACTCCTGCAGGTGCCGCGCCATCTCCTCCTTCAGGCTGCGGATGTCCTCCTCCAGCCTCACCACCGTGTCCTGGTAGCCGGCGGTCTCCAGCGCGTAGCGCTCCTCCAGCTCCCGCAGCTGCCTCTCCAGGGACTCGTTCTGGGGGCCACCAGGGGACGCGGTGCCCTCAGCGCCCACCTCCTTCCAGGAGCGAGGGGCTCCCCACGGTGCCCACCCAGCTCCCACCCCGGCCACTGGCTGTGCCCCCAGCCCGGGGCTCAGCTCCTCAGCAGCATCCCCGTGGTGGTGGCCCCTGCCCAAGGCCGTGTCCCCCCCTTTGTGGCACCTACCGAACCCCGCAGGGCCTCCAGGTCGCAGGTGAGGGCCTGGAGCTGGCGCCGGTACTCGTTGGCCTCCTGCTTGGCCGCACGCAGGGCCTCCGCGTGCCGGGCAGCCGCGTCCGTCAGGTCTGTGAACTGGGGGGGGGGACACGCCATGGGGCAGGGACATGGGGACACGACCCTGCTCTGCTCCTCGGGAGGGACACGGCCCCAGTGGCACGTGCCGGGGGACCTGTCCCTGCTCCCACAGGAGGGACGTGGCCACGGTGACACAGGAGAAGGGGGAATGTCCCTGCTCCTGCAGGATGGTGGGACAGTGCCATGTGTCACTGGGGACATGTCCCTGCTACCATGGGATGACAGGACAGTGGGTGTGGGGCACGCCCCTGATGGCACCTCGTGGAGGCATGTCCCTGATCCCTTGGGGTGGTGGGATGGTGGACGTGGGACCCGTCCCTGATGGCAGGTGTTACAGGGGACACGTCCCTGCTCTTGCAGGAGGGAGGGATGGTGGTGTGGGATGTCAATGGGGACGTGTCCCTGCTCCTATGAGACTGTGCCCGTGGGACCTGTCACTGCAAACACCTCTCTAGGGACTGTGACTCACCAATGGGGACACGTCCCTGCTCCCCCAGGGCCCAAACCAGGACACGGGACACGAGTGGGGACAGCAGGGATGCCAACCCCCCGGTGCCACCACCCTGCAGAGTCACCCAGCCTCGGGAGAGGCTGACCCCCTCCCCACAAAGGTGACATCCCAGGAGGGGGACGGCACCCGCCCGGCAGCCAGGTCCCACCCCGCACCTTGGACTTGTA